CGACATTTTCATCAAAATATAGTATCCATAATATCATTATGAAACGGATGAAACTTAGCAAAAAAAACAACTCATTTAAAATACATGTGAGTTACAGCAGCGTTTCGGTGTGACTATAGAGGAAAACATATTGAAATTAATTTGTTACGACCCCCCTGTTGACGACATTAATTAACTACATTAGAAACTCTACGTATTAACATTTATCTCCTGTTTACTCAATTATAGCTCTTAATTTACGTAGAGAAAAGTGTTTCTCAAAAAACGCCACGCTTTTAATGAGATATATCATACTTAGCGGTGGCAAATAGAAATAACTTTTCGTTAATATTTTATATCCAAACACATTACTTACACAGAGCCGTTTCAATTATTTATTTACCGGAAAGTTCTCACATTTTTTCCCCTTTTTTCGTCTTTTCGTTTATTTAAACAGGAAAATTTCCGCCAATTTTGGTGACATTGGACTTGTTCGTTTTAGATTGATCAGCATGCGTGCAAAATTTAGAGTTCTGACTTCTGAATAATACATTATACTTAAAATCGATGATCTTATACTCGCTGTACCGCGGAGTCGATCAATAGTAGCAGAAATTTAGCCATTTTGTCCATCAGCGACACATTGTACGAATAAGAAATGCAGCAAGCCTTGGTATTACTGATAATAAACGTGTACGATATTTCATTGCAAATTCCAAACTTTCGACTGATATACTGTATTAATACGTGGTACACTTGAGGTATATTCTACAATTTGAAAAACAAGAGAAAATCTTCACGATTTGATTGTCAACCATCTATGTCTATGTTGTGCTTTATATGCATTATCCATGTCAAATGTTTTGTAGAATGATATATATCGTATGTCAATTATCCATTTGTACTTGTCTATGTTTTGTTACATATCATGTCAACTGACCATGTTATTGGTTTGTTACATAGCATGTCAATTGACCATGTCAGTGGTATATCATGTCAATTTTCCATGTCAATGTTTATTACAAATCATGTCAATTGTCCATGTCAACGTTTAGTTACATATCATGTCAATTGTTTGTGTCAATGTTTTGTTACACATAATGCCATTGTCCTTGCCAATGGTTTGTTACATATACTGTCCATGTAAATATTTTATCAGATATCATGTGAATTGTCCAGGCCAATGTTTTTGTTATGAAACACATGTGAACGTTATAGATATTGTATTTTCTCAGTATAGCATGATGTCACTTTTCAATATCGAATGAAATAATTATATAAAACACATCCTGCAGAAAATAATTATGTACAAAAATATCATTCAAAGCGCATAGCATGCTTAGACAGGAAAGATGTATAGCTAATTTTTGGTTGACATTGCTGCTACGGTACAAAATTACAGGGAGCCATTTCAATGGGACTTTTATTTAGTAGAAAGTTGAACAGAATTCTAGTGAACATAATTATTATTCCTTTGCCCTTTTGTCCTACTTTGAAATTATTGTTTAAGATTGTGTTTTTCATAAAAAATTTAAAAAGTAAGAAATTGTTGTTAAATAGATCAGTCACATATAATGTCCTTATTTTAAATGCAATGATGTGTACAGTGGTACAATATCAAAGCTTAATTATATACGTCAATAATTGACAATATTAAAAAGGAAAGGTACTATATAATATGCTGTTCCCATAAAGATATTGTCAACACCTCGAAATATTGCTATACACCTCCGACATATTTCTCTTTTGAGTTACAAGACAAACTGTACACGAACGTCTATTCCTACTCGTTAACAATGCTTAAATATGTATTTAAGATTTCGGCTTAAGTCCACCTTCATTTCCTTTAATAGCCTGCACAAGCAAATACTTAAAAAAATCCGTACTTAAAGTTTATAATATGAAATATCAATAAGTCTCGGACATTGTGGCAACTCCGTACAGTGTGCAATTTCTCAATTTAGCGCTAGTATGGCCCTGTGTTTTGTCGCGTATTGATTGGACATGACACAATGTTCACTTACAACTAGCAATCAATAATCGTTATATTTGTTATATAATCATGTAATTATGGATAATATGAACTATAACGAGTTCTAAATCATAACGGAATTATGAACTATAACGAGATCTAAATCATATCGGAATTATGAACTATAACGAGATCTCGCCACGTGAGACGGTTCGAAAGTTCAACACCCTGACCGCCCTCGTCATGCTGACATGTACATGTATTTTTACCGGGAAGTACGAAAGTCATGCACTGTTCTATTTATACATTTAATGACCTAAATATTAAATCATAATACTTTTTTTAAAAGATTATTTTAAGATACAACCCACTTTTATGACACTTTAATTTAACTTTTATTCTGGAAAATTAGCCCTATTAGAGAAATGGATGGAAAGTTTAGAAAATATGTGTAAAGGAAAGAGTACAATGCACTAAAATCTTAATACAATTTTCAAACGCAGTCATGTAAATGACCTACTGTATCAATACGGTGTTTTTGTCAAGAAAAATAGAAAACCCCTTGGACTTCAGACAGCAAAAGTCTTTATTTGATATGTCATATCATTATTGTAATATTCCTACTGTGTAAAGTCGAGTCGACATTTTATTTATAGTTTGCTGATTGTTAGGTTGATGCTTGTTTTGTTGTTGTTGTTGTTTTGTTCTAGGATTCGTTTATGATGTTATATTGAACATTGAACTTTTGCATGGATTTTGGGGCTAAATCGGTGCCATGTTGGAATATTACGAGTAGTAACAGCATTGTCAATTAAAACACTTCGTCAGGGGTTCGAACTTAAGGGTTCGTATTCATATAGATATCACTGAACGTTAGATATATCTGTAAATATTAAAAAGATTTTTGATTAATTTTAAATGGACAATCGATATGAAATTATCTACACGAGCCATCGATTTTATTGCTTCTCGAGATCTCTCCCGGGACGAGTGCGCCGCGGAGAAGACACAAGACAGGTGAAGGTCAAGTCAAACTAAGTACCAGGGATCATTGGTTGACCTATAGTGACTGACTCTGGAAGTGCAAATAATGTCTTTGGTAGATGATGTGCCACCTAACTACCATGGGAACAAAGAGGAACGTGGGAACCGATCCAAACTTGGAAGGGCGCTAATAGTATTGGACCCCTAGTATAAAAACATAAACAAACAACAACAAAAATTTGATTGTAAAGTGTGAAAGTATGTACAATGGATTACAAAGTGCGATCTTATAACCTATTGAGTGTAAATGTATACTGTATATGCTATTGAATTTATAAAAAAAAAAAAACATGATGATGGTGATCCGTCGATTTTAAAGAACAAACATTTAAGCCATCGGTTATAAAGAAATACTGTTTATGGTATTAAATATTTAAATTTATACTTATACAGAATGATCCATCGACTAATAAGTGCGATTTGTCGATTTTTGAAGAGCGACCGTTTTAAGCCATCGGTATAGAACAAGTGTAGTAGCTAAAGCTATATGAGCCATTGGTTATAAAGTGTGGACGTTTGAACCATCGGTTATAAAGAAAATAGTGTTTTTAATGAATTCGTCAATTTTTAAAACGCAACCGTTGAGCCATCGGTTGGATTGTATTAGCTCAAGCTGTATGAGCCATTGGTTATAAAGTGCGGACGGTTTAGGCCATTGGTTAGAAAGTGCGGACGGTTTAGGCCATTGGTTAGAAAGTGCGGACGATTTAGGCCATTGGTTATAAAGTGCGGACGGTTTAGGCCATTGGTTATAAAGTGCGGACGGTTTAGGCCATTGGTTATAAAGTGCGGACGGTTTAGGCCATTGGTTATAAAGGGCGGACGATTTAGGCCATTGGTTAAAAGTGCGGACGGTTTAGGCCATTGGTTATAAAGTGCGGACGGTTTAGGCCATTGGTTATGAAGTGCGGACGGTTTAGGCCATTGGTAATAAAGTGCGGACGGTTTAGGCCATTGGTTGGAAAGTGCGGACGGTTTAGGCCATTGGTTATAAAGTGCGGACGGTTTAGGCCATTGGTAATAAAGTACGGACGGTTAAGGCCATTGGTTATAAAGTACGGACGGTTTAAGGCCATTGGTTATAAAGTACGGACGGTTTAGGCCATTGGTTATAAAGTGCGGACGGTTTAGGCCATTGGTTATAAAGTGCGGACGGTTAAGGCCATTGGTTATAAAGTACGGACGGTTAAGGCCATTGGTTATAAAGTGCGGACGGTTTAGGCCATTGGTTATAAAGTGCGGACGGTTTAGGCCATTGGTTATAAAGTGCGGACGGTTTAGGCCATTGGTTATAAAGGGTGGACGGTTTAGGCCATTGGTTAGAAAGTGCGGACGGTTTAGGCCATTGGTAATAAAGTGCGGACGGTTTAGGCCATTGGTTATGAAGTGCGGACGGTTTAGGCCATTGGTAATAAAGTACGGACATCTGAGCCATCATATATACGGGAAATGAATCAGAATGCAATCTTTATGAATCGAGACGTAAGGGTGCACGTCTAACTATTAAAAATCATTTGTTCAAGCAATGGATTAAACAGTTTTGACCAATGAACAATGAAATGATGACATACAATCACGGGAATGGAGAAAATACACTTCAATATTAATTTTATATCGAATCGAACAGCATGCGTGATAGAAATGTCACCGCTGTAAATTGATCGTTTCTTAACGGGGTAATTAATATTAATTATGTACACCGAGTAATCAATGATTGAGATAGAAAATGGAAACGTGCTTGATTGTTCTGATAGAACATGTTCTAATTAATATTTGAATAGGTTTATAATGGGGTAAAATAATCAATTAATTTGACATTTTTTTTCTTTGAGTTTTATATATTTTTCCTCTCATTCCTCTCCTGATTTTGTGTCACGAGCGATATTCGCGTCCGACTAAATGCAAGAACGAAATTTGTGCACTTGAGCAAGGCGGCACCGCCTGCAAATTAACTCAAAGTTGATTTTAAATACTATAAAATACTATAAAAGAAAAGTTTACTTACAATAAATAGTTATAGATGAAACTGTTTGAAATATAAAACCAATCCATTGTTTGACCTGAAAACATAAAAAAAAACATTTTCAATAATATGAAAAAAAAACAATTAAAGAAAAAGACAGTTCAGGTAATTTGTCAATGCGTAACTTGTTGGAAATTAAAAAGAGTTTGAGATATTAACTTGAAAGCATTTCTGTGGCATAATGGGCCATTAAAATAAGCAATTCATGTCAGAAAAACGCTTATGATTCTCTTATCAACGGTAAAATTGTATGGTTTCCATAATCGTATGGTCGTAAAAGTTGTAACATAGAATGTCTTTGTTATTTAACACACATAAATAATATTGTACGTTAACAGAATAAAATAATAAAATGTTCCAGAACAAAATATTATGCGCATAGCAATGATTTTATGCATGCGCCAATTCGCTTTAAGGCAATAAACTTCCATTCTTCTTTCATACACGCATTTTGGAAGTTGTCGTTTTTATTTTTTACAGCAGATATATAGCTTTATACACTAAGACTTTAATATATGAGTCGAGATATCCAAAGAAATGTTAAAAGGCAGGAAGGACAAAATGTGACAGTGCTAAAACTGTACAATAAATGAAACTATTTTGCAAGGCACTGTAAATGTTTATAAACATAGTATTTTTAACAACATCATTTAAAGATGCAAGCGGGACGTTACCGATTTTAAGTAACTAAATTACACATACCCATTCGCTCAAACAGTTCATAAGATACAGTATAATAAAACACATATTTATTTATCTGTATTTAATGAGCACTAATGACAAATATCATTATAAGAACATAATAAACTTATGTCATTTCAGTTTTTTTCCAGATGAGCTATTATCTCCCTTTAAACTATATTTTTATTGCTTACTGTAAGCCATGTAATACCGATAAACCATTGCGAAAAAGAATTATATGAAAGTGTTATTACATCTCTTAAAAGTACAAATTATTCTTACGGATAATGATTAGTATATGTATTAATTAAACCATATGTTTACAAGCTTATATAAAAGTTTACACTTAATACTTCTGTAAGAAACACGTGCACGACTTTGACACTCTGTGCACGTTTTGTTTTTTTTAACAAAAAACACAAAAGAGGTGAACTGTGGAAAAATATCAATTGAAAATTAACTTAAAGGAACTCCACTGATTTTTAAATGCATACAAACATAAAATTTGAAAATCTTACATGTAACAAGTGAAACACTTAAAATTGAAAAAAAAATCTGCAAAGGATTACATTGAAATATACTCAGAATTAAATTGAAAATCAATATTATATAACATTATTAGCCATAAAACAGGAGTAGGGAATGAGCTCATAATTTACATACAAGTTATTAGATAAGACTGCAATCCATCGGTACAGAAAACTCATAAAATATTTTCAGTCCCGTCATGTCTAAAACACCTGAGCGCAGTCCCTTTAATATGTAATAGTTACCGTACGAGGAATAGGTCTGCATAGTATTTACAGACCCGGGTGGCGATTTGAAGACCGAGAGAGCGTAGCGATCGAGGTTTTTAAAAGGCCACCGGGTCTGTAAATACTATGCAGACCTATTTCGAGTGCGGTAACTATCTTACCTACATGCTCTTTTGTTTTTCTATCCATACATCAGTTTTTAGCTCAGTATTTATTAACATTACTCACAAGAAACATATTACTTATGTACTTTATCATGTTTAAGAAAGCATTCCAAAGCCAAGCAAAGATACCACCCGCTACGCTCTTGTAATTCATTCGTTCACAAATCATGTGTTATTTGAATAATCTCGTGATTTTCGTGGTGTTTCATTATGTAATAAGGTCAGGTAATGTACTTGTTGAGTTGAGTCACAGAAAATGAAAACAGAACTTGTCGAGTAGAGAAAGGTAAGATCATTATTTTGATTATGAAAACATAACATATTAATAATATAAACAAATACTGAGGAAGATAAAAATGTTTTCTAATCATAAAAACGGAACACTTTATCTTTATATAAATAAATTTCATGGTAAATAGATGATCAGGCTATTTCTTATATAATTAAAATCTACGATTTTTTCAAAGGAAAGTAAAAAACGGGGTTCTATGAATAAATATTAGTAATACATGTAGTTACACCGTTATGTACGTTGGGTTTGTTGTTGTTGTTTTTTATGATGGCTGATTTTAAATGTTCTTAGAATTTCATCCATGTTTGGAAGAATTTTCTTTCCGTGTATTCTTAATTATAAGACCGCATGTAAGCACGCGGTCTATAGAATGGAAGCGCAAGTCGTATTCTTGGTACTGGTATACAAAATCCACATTGTAATATAAAAATAACTGGGAAAAAATGAGAAAAACGGTCTTATACTTAAGATGAACTATACTCTCACTGAAAGTAATATTTTGGGAAAGAAAGATGCAGAAGTTGACTTTGATTCGATATGCACCAATAATATAATCGTCGTATATATCCCATAATGCAGAATTGTTAAAATAATGCAGGATTGTGTAAATTCAGACATAGTTGTAGAAATAAATACCGAAAACTAGTATCTTATGAAGCTATATAGTTCGGCAAATGTGTTAGGTATACCGAAAAGCAAACTTTAAAGAAAGGCTTAATGTGCGTTGTTATACTCATTAATATCGGCGAAACACAAAACTTCAACGCCAGAACAATAGCCAGTTCGTTTTCTCACAAATAATCTGGAATATAAGTTATGAGGGTCCTTACAGCCGTATGCGCTAATTTATTTCGATTAATCTTTAAAATATATATCGACCCTTTTTCCTATTTAAAGTGGTCATTACCCCCCCCCCCCCCCCACAACTCAGCGTTCTTTTACGGTGAATATTGTGTACTATAATGCACGAGTTTCTCGACTTCACATATTTTCTATTGTATAGAGAACAATAGAACAATAACCGGTCGGTATCTATTTGCAGACCTGTTAACCGGTCGGTAAGTGATTTACTAGACCGCTTTTAACAAAGGAGCCGGTAGGTAAATGATTTTAACCAATATTACCTATATTTTAAAGTACAAGGGATGGTTGAGCCCACTATGATGACATAGATGATTATTTCAAGTTTAAAGGTGATCCGCTCAGGCCCTTGAAATTTCATACACAACTAACTACTAGTACTAAAAAAAGCAATATTTCGTAATAACCATTGGGGTATGGCTAGATGAGAAACACTCGCATATTTTACTAATGACATGCATAGTTTGAAGAAACTTAAAATATATATTGGTGTATATATATCCGAACAATTTCTTTGAAAGATCATTCTACCTCGTGTCAGAAAACGTTTCTGAGAGATCCCCCTACCTTCACTCAAGTGGCTGGGGTAATTTTAAACATGACATATATAGTTTGAGAGACCGTAAAACAAACAAAAAATAATGGTATATATCCGAACAATTTCTTTGAACGATCAATCTACCACGTGCCAGAAAACGCTCCTGAGACGATCCCCCACTCAAGTGGCTGGGGTAATTTTAAACACATAAACGGTACGTATATAACACATATCCTCCTTAGAATATACATTCTCAAGTTTGAATGTAATGGCTTAATTATACCCACATACATAAAATAAATAAGCTTTTCTTATTCTCTTCCTCTATTAATTCCTGTTCATTTTCTACACTACTCAACAAAACAATCATTTGTAAACTGTTAAACGTAATTACTTACAAATATACATGTATACATACAAATATATCTATAATCCTAATACATGTATATAATCATTTTCATATTTCATATTTTCCTCGTTCATTTTCTATAGTTCTCAGCGATAAAAATGAGTCAAATTGTTAATTGTAATTACCTACAACCGTGACGAATATATATGCATACAAATATATCTACAATACTACAACTCAATCCAACATTTTCATGCTTTATTCATTGCAGGGTCTCTTTAAAATGCAAAATATCAGTTTAAATTGGCGTTCTATAACCAGCATATCCAGTGAACAACAACAAAACAAACAAAAACACCTAAGTATATACAACCATTTTTTATTACCAAATCGCTTCTATAATAATAATTTTTATTTTATGCTTTTCAGTGGATTACTGATTTATCCGTGAAAATTATATTTGGTAATTTCACAGTGAAAATTATCAAAATATAATTTCACTCTTTTCAATGACGAAACTACTTTTTTAAGATTTTCCCCATGTGGTACCTCAATTTTATTTTTGCTGACAATTCTGACAATGTCAGGCTGTTTAAAGAAAAAGCAAAACTGAAATTGATAAATAACTTAAATGTCAAAAGTAATAAAAAGAAGAAAACTTACTTCTATTCATTCAAATTCATAAAATTCCAATCACCAAATTTCGTTTTTTTGTTTCATTTTGACAGTCTCAAAAATACATTCCTTCCCCATGCAAAACTGCTCTTGATGACATTTGGGCATATTAAAGTATCCTACGAGCAATAACTGCCGTATGCTTTATGAAAAATTGAAAGCTTTGACAGCCATAACTCGAAGAATAAGTTAAATCAACCCAGCGTTCTTGAGCAGGTTTCCAAGTTTTCCATTTTCCTAGCTCCTTTTCTGAATGTTTTCACATCTGTCAACACTTATTTTTTGTCTGTTACAATCCTCAAATAAGTTTTCTTTCTTTTAAAAATGTGTATGACTAACAAATCCAAATTATATCCCTCTGAATATTACACAATTATTTTCCTCCCATGAAATACACAACTTTAAAAAAATGGCTGCCGCTTACAATTTACAAAGCCAGGTCTAATATAAATTCGCACTAAGTAACAGAAATATGGATGGATGGTTGGACTTTTTCTCCTACAAGAATTGTTTGTTTTTATTATCAAAACAAGCGATCATTCATATTTTTTTAATAAAATTAATAAATATCACCGTCATTTAATGTTGATTGGCGGACTTATTTTTCAGCTCAAGACTTCTTTTTTTTAATGAGAAATTCCGAATAAATGGGGCTCTCAATGGGGGAAACAGTTTTAATATTAACGTTAAAATTATGGAAATTTCGTTTTAACTTGTTTTTA